ATGATATCTTTTTATTATTATTCTATCTCAATATCACACAATAAGACAAAAAACAAACAGTTTTAAAATCTTTTTTTGTTTGGTTTTGATATTTTGCTGATAAATTGTTTTTTTTTTTTGTTATTACATACATAGACAAACATTATTAAAAACAAAAAATTTCAAAAGAAATTAAATGAATATGAATTAATTAAAAAAATTCTAACAATAACTGATGATATTGCATTTGAATATTCACTTGATACAATGTATATTTAATGAGAGGAAAGAACAACATGAGAGAGAAAAGACAACAGTACTCCGAATTCGCCAGTATCGAAGAAAACAGATACTAAGTTGTCAAAAGTAAAGCAAACACGCTCTGCAATGGCTTGTTACATATATGCTTAAAATAATCATGAATAATCATATTACAGACTCAAAGAAATTCGAAGTAACAGATTTTATATTATTCATCAGAATAAAAACAATAACACTATTCTTGGTAATCTGTTGATTTTTAATAAAAAATTGTATTAGGAAAGTTCTTTTAAACCACAAAACGACATTTATTCAACTTTTGATTTAGACAATAAAAAAGAAAAGATAGAATTTGTTAGATTTCCTTCATTTATTTATTATGAATTGGGTACCATTAAATTTCGGCAGTATAATTTGACAAAAAAAAAGTCCAAGCTACTCGATACCTGTTTATTTCATTTTTTTTAATATTTTATTATTCGTCATACGACTCGAATTATTTCATACTAAAGTCCGAATAATCATTACATATTTACTTTCATTTTTTTCTATCGAACGATGAAATATACAAGTGCGTATATCATTTTGGAAGATTTGTGCAATTTTAATTCAATGGTGATTTTGTGTGTGTAGTTTATCTCAACCTAAAACGTGATCTGCCGGCTACACTAGTCTGTCAGTGCAATATTCTAATTTTTAGCAAAAATGATGCAAAAGAAAATATATATTTTAAACTTTTCGCTATATTTTTCGCAAAGAAAAATAAAAATTCAACATAAAGTTGATGTCTTTATTTTTTTACTACAATAATGTATAGGAGTGACATAAATAAATGAATTCGTTATTTTTAGAAAATAAAGATTCATGTTCAGAAAGATTTTTATCATAAAATAAATGCATTTATACCAAAAACAAGCTAGTTGAGACATACTATGATTGACTGTTTTTTCTCCAATATTTAGCAGACGTCGATTAGAAAAGTGAAGATTGAATCAAAACAAATATCATATTCTGAATCAGCATTAAAAATGGAACTGATCTATGAATATTTCAAAAATTTTTAAGATCTTTTTATTCATCGAAAAATATTCCTGTACTCTCCCTCAGAGATGGTCGAGTTACAAAAATGAAACCCATGAAAAACGATGTTTTTGCCGTCTAAATATTGCCCATTTCATGTTGTATTATCACTTTACAATTAGACAGCTTGTTTGCCATTGCCCAAACTAATTTTGGGCAAAATTCATTTTTTGACTTAATCATTTCGATAGGGAGTACGGGAAAATTTTTCGATGAAGAAAAAGATCTTAAAGACTTTTGAAGTATTCATAGAACAGCTCCATTTTTAATGCTGATTCAGAATATGATACTTTTCAACTAGCTTGTTTTCGGTATAAATACATTTATTTTATGATAAAAGTCTTTCTGAACATAAATTCTCTGGTGGTAGTACTCTTCCAACATCATTATCCCTCGAAAAAAAGAAAAATCCTCTGTTCCTTTAATTTGTCTTTATTTACCTTTATTTCATAGAGTAAGAGTAAAGTACTACCCCTAACAATGTACATTAGGAAAATTATTTTCAATATTTTTTAAATAGTTCATATTTCACTTTATTTGATGTTTTAACACGTCCTAGAATAAAAATCATTGATAGTACCATGTGTTCGATGAAATTTTTTCCTTATGTTCATGTAGATCTGTTTTTTCTGGTATGACTTTGTATAAATAACCTTGATCAATAAGAAAACTTTGTCATGTAACTGAATAAAACATTTTGAACACTATCATGAGAAACAAGTGAATGAAAAAAACTATTCTATTCTTAAATATGAACATCTGTTTAGGTGGTACAATACGACCAAGTCGTTGTGCTGGTTATCTTCTTGACCCTCCATGAGTTGAAATATGTGTTAATACATTAGCAGCAGATAAATCAAATGATGTATCAACAAACTTGGGAAAGAATAATTGTTTTTATATTTGTATCATATTGAAGATCATGTAAAATTTGCATAAGTGTTTAAGACGAACATAATATCGGAAAAAAATCAATTATTTTATTATCACTTTGTTCAGGATAACATATTAAATATTGACATGTATGAAAACTTATTTAGATTCATCATACATAAAAGTAAACGTCGAAATTGATCATTTTTACTTGATAAATATTTTTTTAAAAATTCTAGTGTTGTTCGATACCATGCTTCACCACATTTAATTTTATCAGTATGATCTAAATTTTGTAATTCTATCCAATTGGTTTCTTTTATTTCTTGTACAAGCAGCCGTAACACCAATTAAAGATTTACCAGCACCACGTGATAGAACACATATTTCTTAAACTTGATCGAAGTTCAATATTCGAATTGTTGACATCGTTTATGTAAAAGTTCAATTTCATATAGAAGAAGTTCAAATGAGACTTTTTTTGTGAAATCTTCATTATTATGATTCATTTTTTCATATAAATATCGAATATTATTAGATATTTGTTCCTTTATTCTTTTCTTTTCTTCTCTCAGAATTATTTTAAAAATGAAATCTTAAACTTTTTCTGTTATTGTGTTTACATTAAGAATATTCTCTATTGTTATTATTCAATATTTTTGAATTTATGAATCTTGTAGAAGAGTTTTTAAAACATTAGGAAAATAACTTTTAGTAAAATATCAATTATGTTTTAATACTAATTTTATTTTTCCATAACTTAATGTACATAATTTAATAAATTCAATAATAGGATTGGTTTGTATACTAATCGATACAGATATGACCATCTGGTGTAATCCACAATGGATGATTTTTATGATCAACTATTAATTTCATATCCGAACAAAAACATCATCTTCACATTGAAGTGAATCATTTAAACGTTGAGATGCAGCTAATGATATGAATATTTCTTCATCTCCTTCAATAAAATCATCATATCTATTATCATATATACTGTTTAATGATTTCGATGAACGTCGTCTACTCATTTTCAATTGAAGCATAGATGTATATTAAATTTACGTAGTCATGAATGCATAAGCAATTCTTATACACATAATAATATTTGAAATACTTGAATCTATGCTGTCTTGATGCATATCAAGCAAATAAATACAACTACAGAAGTGAAAAATGTTAAAAAAAAACCAGTCATGTGTTTTTATTTTTATACCTTGAAAGACAATTGCTTATTACAACTTATCAATAGGTAAATGATCTATTCCTTATGAAATACATGTTGTAATGACAAAACTGTACGAGTTGTTGACAATATCTATCTGTCTAAGTAACATACTCTGTACAGTGGAAAAGAAAATAGAGTGTATTGTTATTGTCTTTAATGTGACAATAAGTTGAGATTGATTTTTTTATACTGATGATCATTATAATTGGGACAATCTCTTTTCGATAAATATTAAGAAATCTCCTTGGAAATGCTTGTTGTCGTTTATTTATCTATGAAAATATCTTGAGTTGTGTTTGTATAGTGAATACAGAAAAGGATCATGTCAGAAAGACAGATTGAATTAGATCCAATCACAAATAACAATATGGAAAGACAGTAAGGAAAAAAGGAAACGAATCATAAGAGTATTAGGAAAGTTTGAATTAATGAACTCATCGATTATATTAAGAATTTAAGTGAGAATGTGAGAAGACTGTATGTTTAGAGTGAATTAGAAGTAAGGGTGTGGGTGTGGGTGTGGGTTACTGTGTGGATCTGAGCATTCTCTTTATTTACACCCACACCCACACCCACACCCACACCCGCACCCGCACCCACATCCACACCCATATCCACACCGTCAAGATAGCCACGCCACACCCACACCTACACCCACACCCACACCCACACTTACACCCACACCCACACTTACACCCACACCCACACTTACACCCACACCCACACTTACACCCACACCCACACCTACACCTACACCCACACCCACACCTACACCCACATCTACACCCACACCTACACCCACACCCACCCACACCCACACCTGACACCCATATCCACACCCTATTTACATATATGTACAATACATACAAGAGAATCAGGGAAATGAAACATTATGGTAGAAACAAAAGACAGCAGAGCAACATAAGAGATATGTTATCCTATGTAAACTTGAATAAAAAGAGTTTTTAGAATCTCTGAAAACATTATCAAATACATCATTTTTGATTTTAAAAGTAACAAACTTTTTAAAGCGTTTCATTTTAACTAGGAAGTACTGCATAACTTTAGTGTTTGAGACCTATAGCTTTTACTAAATATGAGAACTTCCAGCATAACTGTTATGTACTACTCTTTTTATTTTCTTGATCACCTTGTTTATTATTTTTAAATCAATACAAATTTTAGAAACAAAAAGAAAGACAACAAATGGAGAACAAGTGACACTTCATGCTTCATCGTACGTCAAATTCTTTTTTTCTTGAAGTAGATGTAGTTTCACTTTTTTCCCTCGTTTTCTTTTAATAAAATCAACAGAAATGAATATTAAATTATTCGGAGCTTCCTAAATAATCTCCATGTGCAAGAAAAGAAACAGCGTTCTAGAGAATGAGGTCTCAAATATACATAACAAAGATGAAAAGAAATTATAAAAATAACGATAAATACTATTAGATTGATTACTTAAATTAACTTAGTACCATGACTCTGAAAGCCACCATGTAATCATCTACTCCTGTCGTGAGATAACAAACTGAGAAAAAATAAAAATAAAAATGAAGAATTATCGAAAAAAATCAAAATCTCGAAGAGAACATAGTCAGAATAATAAATAAATTATATTAATGCAACAGAACACAGAAATGATAAAAATATAAATAAAAACAATTTATTTATTTGTTCGAAGATTGTTAGCATACAATCAATATAATTCTGGCTGAGAGTATGTGTAAATATGTGAATGTGATCTAATAAATAAATAATTAACTGAATAATGTATATATTTATTTTATTTTAATATGGAAATTTTCGATCATTTTCAACCAGATAACATGACAATATTTCATGGTGTTACAATAAAAACAAACAAGAAAAATTAGAGAAATAGTTTCTTTTTAAATGCATCATGACCTATTTAACTTAATATAAATTTTGTATACATTGTAAGTATTGTATAATTTTGAAATCTATTTGTTATACAGATACCATATGCAATACTAGAATTTATAATCCATCAACTATTTAAACCTTAATAATAACACTGAGGTTTTATATTCTACTAAAATTTTATTTCACGAAAAACTTTAAACAAATTTATTTTGTTTAATCTTGAGATTTGTCTTGTTATTTGATTGAAAATGATCGAAAATTTCCATATTACAATAAAATAAATTTATAGATTATTCATTACTATATACTACACATTCATTTATTAGATATTGATAAAATCTCAAGATTAAACAAAATTTGTGAATGTCATGGTGTGCATCTTATTGTAATACATAGGAATACATTAGAAATTATTGATTGATAGGAATATGTACATGATATTAGACTATTGACAATAGATTTAGATAATATCTTTGAAAATTTCGATATTCTACATTCTATTTTATTTGACATTGTTTGCGTTTGAATTTTTTTTTGAGACCTCGTTTATTTGCGATATATTTTTTCTAACGATTATTATTTCTATTATTCGTAAACAAAATCTACCCAGTATATTTTTTTCCATATTGAAATGTATGACATATTGAAACTGCGAATTATTCATTCACCTGGGCATTTATAATGTTGATTGTCATTACCATCAGGATGAGTAGAAAATATTTACATTGCTTTTTAACAGATGCTTTACTTATTTTTTCTAATAAGTGCTGAGCTTCAGTCTTTTTATCTATTAAGATAAAGTTTCCAAATAATACAATAGACTTACTGTTGTCTTCGACAAAACTGAAGTCGTGCAACGTGTTCACAGAGAAAGACTGATTTTTTTTTTCATCTTTTTCTCCATTAAATGAGGAAGATGCCCGATGAGTTTAGTTGAAATCATAAAATAACATAAAAAATTATATTTCTTTTAAGCAAAATTTGTTTGATATGTTTCTTCCCCTCTATATTAACGTCACAATCTTCTCCTACATAAAAATAGTTCATTATAATCACGCATATTTTGAAAACAAAAATCGGACTAAACAAAGTTAGTACAAATTAAACAACAAATAATCAGTATAACATAAGTGAGAACAACAGTATCTACGAAGATAAAGTTAATACTGACAAGTCTAGGCTCTGTAGAATATTCTTGATATCAAAGAGAAAAAGTACTGACAAACAAATTTTTTTTGTTTAGAATAATGATGTATTTACTCTTCATGAATATTGAACAAATTGAATGAGTCTAAATATATAAGTATCACATTGAACTACTCATTCAAGAAATTTACAATGTCCTCTAGAATCTTCTTATTTAGAATATTAATAGAAGCCATTAAGTGAGACAAGAATCATATATATGATTCACATCGGTTTCTATTAGCTAGGAACTTTACTAGTTGTTTTTTACTTATTTTTTATTTCTTTTTTTCAATAGTTATGTAGACAAATTTTTTATATTTCTCTTTCTAGCAAATATAATAATAGAAGAGTCATTTTGTCCTCATAGGCAATATACTACTCTATCATGTGATACATAAAAATAGTCGACTGTCATGTGTTGTTTTTTAGTAAGAGAGGAAGAAAAAAAAAGTCTACGTATCATGAAGTAGGATGCACGTAAAAGAAACGTGAGGTTTCAATATCAATCTTCTAACGTATTTTAGTTTTAATTTCAACACTAAATACTGAGCTGAAGATAAAAATCCAAATTTCTGATTTTCAAAAAATTTCATTTGGATATTCAAAAAGCATTATAATATAGCAGTGCTTTTACTTTGTTTTTTTTACTATTAACATTCTTCAGTATCGATTTTAACAGTACAGGTGAGCTCGAGAAACATAAATAGTAACATTTAATTGGACACGAATAGAATGAAAGAAAAAAGAGCAATATTATTCATCGTGAAGATATAATATTTTACAAAGTCGTTTAGTACTTGAATATACATATTACTTCCTTCTTTCTTCTTCTTGTTTTCTTTTTTGATAGATTCAAACAAAATATATGAATTAACCTTGTTTGTTTTTCTTTTCTTTCATTCTTCCTTCTTCATATTTTAACATAAAGTCAACTATTGTAATAGTATCTTTATGAAAAAGAAAATTCATCATAGTTTTGCGGAGAATGTATCATTCATTCAGAAAAATTTTATTAGATACAGCTTGCTAATTGTCGTATCATCTTTATTCTATTTGAATTTCTTGATCAGATATCTTTTAAATAAATTTAGTACCATGTCTAATTTGAAGGTCATATTTGATCGAATGCATTTATGAAATCTACAATACTAGTCGATTGTTAGTCTTATTATGAGTCTTATACCTTCGCAGATGATAAGAATTCAAATTTGAAGGCATCTATTTGGAGTAAATTCTAATTGTTCATGAATATAAATTTCTTTTCACTTGTCCATATGCATTCTATAAAAATCTATCTCTTGCACCAGTATTTGTGAAGTTCCTTCATTTCGATTGATTCAGTTCGTAACTTAGTTAGATAGGCCTAAGAACTAACATTCATTTTGAATAAGATTTCAATCATTATTAGACTTCTGAAGTTCGAATAGATCTTTATATCAGTTTTATTTATCAACGAGAAAAAAAAACGTATTTAGTTGATTCTTTATTTTCAATATCTCGTCGATATTAGTGATGTTGCTTGTATTTAATTTGATCTATTTTCTGTACTATCAATATTGATTTCTATTAATTTAACTGCTCACTATTTATACATCAAGTCCTCTGACATGGTTTTTTTTCTTTTTCAACTACTGATTGATTAGACTAGCAATTGTACTTATCTACTATTGAAATGAAAGCTCTTCTGTGAAGCAAAAATACATAACATATCAGATACACTTTACCATTGAAATATAAGATACGTATCCATCTTAATAATTTACTAGTAGTCTTAAAGAATATTAATAAATATGATCTATTTGTTGTAGCAATATAATCAAAATAAATAATGTATATATTTTCACTTTTTGAAAATATCTCATACGTAAAGTTTGTTATTTGTAAAATATGTTTGAATATTATCATCTTAAAATAGAAAATTATTAGAAGCATATAGAACGAACAAAAACTCATATCCAGACAGAGATATTCAATTTTTAAGCAATGAATAATGTACATTCAATTGACAAGTTTTAAAACTTCTACTAGATTCTTTGGTTGGAAATAATTTGTAAAGTAACATTAAAAACAAATATGTTTTGAATTTTGTAAGTAGCTTTTTGAAAGAAAAAATGAACATATTACTATATGAAATATGCGAGAGGATGGATAGAAAATTATGACTTTTCTTAAATTATCTTTTCAAAATTTCAAACACTTTTTATTATGTTATTCAACGAAGAAAAAAAAAGAGAAATTATATCTAGATTTTAAAGTATAGACTGTGAACAGATAGTAAAAATAGTTAAATAAAATTGAATATTTCAATTTCTGTGCATGCGCATGTCCAGAGTATCTTTCATGTTAAAGTTGTTAATTTGAAAAAGAAAATTTTAATTTCATTCGTAGATATCTAATCTTTTTCATAATAACATAACAAAACATAAAGAAATTGATAGTATATTCTCCAAATGAATACAGCAATCTATAACATTCATTCGAAGTTCTATGTAAGTATTTGACAATACCAAAAAGAATATTATAACCTCAAGTCATAAATCTGTTACATAGTAAAGTTACGATTTAAACATTTTAAAATGATAGTTCATACAATTTTAATATGTGCAGATTTTTGCGCTTTAGTAAAACTATTTTATTAGTTTGTGATAACGTTCATTACCTTGTTTCGTTGAATAATATGAATTTAATTCTCCTAGAGTAGTCTATTCTGAATGCTGTATTGTACCTTTATTATTAATTTATAGATTATCATGGCAGAAAGTATCGGACAACCGGATGTACTTTCAAAACGATTAAAATTTGCTTATAGTGTTGGTCATGTTCTAAATGATGTAACTGCAGCAATGTGGCTTTCATATTTTATTGTATTTTATTATCGTGTTGTAAATTTTACAAATGCAATTGCTGGTTATTTCTTTTTAATTGGACAAATAGCCGATGCTGTATCTACAATATTTGTTAGTTTAGCATCGGATCGTACACGAACTGGTTTATTTCATTATGGAAAACGTAAAACTTGGCATCTTATTGGAGTCATTTGTGTATTCATTTCATTTCCATTTTGTTTTAATTCATGTATTGGATGTCAAAATAGTAAATTTTGGATACAATTTACCTATTATGCAGTGTTCATCACTATTTTTCAATTTGGTTGGGCAAGTTCACAAGTTGCACATTTGTAAGTATTATAAGTTTATCTTGATGTGAAAGAAAATCAAATTTCTATATTAATTAGAGCAATGATCAATGAATTAACACATATAGACGGTGAACGTGTTGCACTTAATTCATATCGTTATGCTTGGGCTTTCTTATCAAGTACATCTTTATATGCAATGGCTAGTTTTTTTTTAGGTTTTTCTTTTACTGGTGACGAATCAACTATAACACCTGCTGATCTACCTATATTTCGTAAATTAACATTTATTGTTATTGGTTTTGGTCTTTTTTTTATGATTATATTTCATGTTGGATTAAAAGAATCCAATCAAACAATTGAAGAAAAAAAACATCATTCGAAATTAATATTAACATCGAATAGAAAATTAAAAAAAATGACATGGATGAGTATCTTATGTGAGAAAGAGTTTTATCAATGTGCAGTCGTATGGACATCTGCACGAATTATTTTAAATGTTACACAGGTAAATACATTTTTATAAATAATATATTTTGAAATAGTATGATGTTGTAACTTTTCTTTATAAGCTAAAGACAGAAAAATATTCTCAGTACACTAACAAGAAAGCATATTAGATTTGTTGTCTATTTGATGTAATAAAATTAGAAATTAAAACCAAATATTGAAAACTTTTGAGATAGCTTTTAAATATACTAGAGATGTATTTTTCTAAATAGTTTATACCAAAACACTAATGCTACAATTGGATTACATTGTTTTAAAGTGAAATCACGTATCGATTTCTAAATAAACACTCAGACACTACTTTATTATGTCAGTACATCTTATGTGCAAAATTTTCATCATTTTTTGTCTTTTTAAGGCATTTCTTCCATTATATACAATTGATACGATTTCAAAATTAAATCGAGTCTATGTTGCTATTGTTCCACTATGTATTTATATAACTAGTTTTATTGCATCTTTTCCTATGCGTGAAATAAATAAACGATTAGGTCGAAATCTAACCAATATGATTGGTTATGGTTTAATATTAGCATGTATGATTTTATTTTGGTTTATTATTGATATAGAAAGTAAACTACAAATTCAAATAGCTTTAATATTAGCTTGTATTTTATTTGGTATTAGTACATCAACAACAAGCATTTGTTCTACTGCTCTAGCATCCGATTTCATTGGTTTAAATACAGAATGTGGAGCATTTGTTTATGGAGTAATGACATTTGTAGATAAACTTTCTAATGGTATAATTATTGCTCTTGTTCAACATTTTAATCCATGTAAATTAGATTCAACACATGCATGTGCATTATATTATAGATATATCATAGCATTTATACCAGGTTGTGTTGCAATTTTAGCAATATTAATGATATTAAATATGTGGAAAACAAATGTAGGTGGTAATCGTTTCGAAATAGTTCAAGATGAAGAAAGTAGTACTAGTACGGATATGAAAGATGAAGTTGATTCCAAGGAACAAAATTTATTAATGGCTTAAAATTGACATGTTTCATAAGACTAATATGATTAATCGAACAATATTTTTCGTAAGAAATAAAAATCTTCAATAATAAAAACAATCCATCTATCCATTTAGTTAGAATACAGTTTATTTTTTTTTTTGTATTCTTATGTATTTCTCTTCTAACATTTATGTTTTTGCTTTCTTTAAACTATACGGATAGTTACAAATGATGGTTAATAACTGGTAATGATGTTGCTTATAAAGCTTGAAAATTTTAATATTGTATATAAATGTAAATTATATTTCATCTACTCTCATCTATCAGTGCTCATCGAAATTTCACATATGTTACTCTTCTATTTTTACAATATTGTAAATACTATATCTCTTAAAGAAGTGCTAATCTATAATAAAGATATATTTTAATAAAAAGATTTTTTCTGTTAATTGAATTAACCTTACAATCTTTACCTCTTTTTCTTTATTGTAATTAAAAATAGCTCATCTATTTAGACATCTGGCTTTAAATATATATATATATACCTATGTTAGAAATAAAAAGTAAGATATGTCAAACTATCAAATGAGATTGATTTCATTACCATCATGATTATTATTATGTAGATATATCATCTATTATTTGTTAACATACAAGAACACTAAATGTTTTTCATTTCTATTTCAAATTAGAAAGATAAAAAGAAAACATAACATTATGATAAATATTATTAAAATGCTTGCTAATACTAGCTTAGCACGAACACTATATAAACCAAGCATTTAATCATCTTCTTTCCATGTGAGATGAAAAACTCGAGAAAAATAAAATAGAAACAAAGAGTATCGAAAAGGTCAAAATTTCAAATAGATCATTGTTAAAATAAATTCTAAGATAGTTCGATATTTGATTTTTATGTGTTAAGAAAACTTGTTAATATTTTATTAATAAATAAATGACAGTATACAATAGAAGATAGAAATGATTAAAACATGAATGAAAAACAGTTGATTTGTTTATTTAAAGATTATTGGCATAGAACGAATATAGTTCTAGCTAAGAGTATGTGGAAGTTGATAGATTTGGTGGTGTATATTTTCTTATATAACATCTTCAAAAATTTCTATATTCTTCATTCTCTTTGACTTGACATTTTTTGCTGTTTTAAATCTTCTTCAAGACTTCATTTATTTGTGATTTTTCCAACGATTTTCATTTCTATTAATCATCAACGCAAGAATATTTAATATATTCATTCTTTTTGCTCTTATATCTATAGCTAATAGATTATTAATCTTGATTGAGATTGCAATCATCATGAATAGATATTATTTACATAGTTGATAAGAATTAAGCAAGATTTCTTTTTTGATGATGACTAATGAGCTTGAATTTTTTTTTATCCATTAAAAAAATTTCACATAGATATTTCATACTTTTTTTCAACAAATGAAGAAGAAACCGAATAAGTCCATGCATGACGAAGCTCAAAGATTGGTTTTATTTTTTTTTAGTGAGTTTGTTGTTCTTGAGTAAGAAACCTAAAATACTAAAAGATATTTTTAAAATGTTTGGTTGAGATCCAAAATAGCATAAAAGGTAGTATTTATTTTAAATAAAAAAAATATTCTATAACGTAATAGCTTAGTCGATTGATTCATGTCGTAATATTCTCGTTGACGTAATTAAGAGAGGTAACGATCATATGATGGTGATTTTTTTTTCTCTCAAGCAAATACGACATAAGTAAAGTCATCTGATTTGTATAGATGATATACTGCTCTATCACGTGATACCTAGAAATATTTGATTGTCACATTTTGCTTTTCAGTAGGAAAGAGAAAAAAAACAACTTACATGTCATGAAAACGAATGAATATGAAAAAAAAATAAGCGTGAAGTTTCAATATAAATCTTCTAACCTACTTTCGTTCTAATTTCAACCTTAAAAAATACTGAGATGAATATAAAAATTCAAATTTCTGAATCTCGAAAAATTTCATTTAGATATTCAAAAGCAAGATCATTATAATATATCAGTACTTTCATTTTGTTTTTTTCCTACTAGTATTCTTCAGTATCATGATTGAACGAGTTTAAAAACTACAGATGAACATGAAAGATATAAATATTAATTGTAAATTGGACAATAAAAGAAAAAGTGAACAGAAACGTGAAACAATAAATACAATATGAAAAAAAAAACGAAAACAAATAGCAATCATTGTGGAGATAACGTGTTACATAATGTCGATGAATATATGAATGTAAACATTATTCTTTTTTTTTCTATTTTTGATGCGAGCAAAAGTCATCGATCAATCTTGTTTTAGTGTTTCTTTGTATTCATTTCATTGCTTTTGAAATTAGAACAAATCTTAAAAAACCTTCTATAAATTTCATACAGTAAACTTTTTTTAATAACTTCAAATCTGAAGAAGATAAAGTTCAATCAACTGATATTCAATCAATAAAGGATATTGTAATTGTATGATCAAGAAATAAAAAATTCATCATTGTTGCGTACAGATTGTAAAATTGACTGTGAAAAATTTCATTAAATCCAATCTGCTAATAGATGTATGATCTTCATTCTATTTGAATTTATCAATAACAACATAGTAAAACAGTTTCAACAAGTCTTTCTAATACTTGTTCTTCAACATATTTCTTTATTGATATTGATAGATAAACAAGAAATAAATGTTTTATTGAAATATACAAATATTTCAAGTGTGAAATACCGGTACAATCTAATGTCCGATCGAAAAGTTTTTGGACAATATGATAAAAAGGTGAAATGTATATCTAAAGGCTATTGAAAGAAGTTTTATTTTACTATTTATATAGGTTGTCTCTTCCTCAATCTATAATATTAATTTGAGATTTTACAATTGAATTATTATTTTCAAAATGATTGATCTTCACATAAACGTATTTTTTCTATGCTTGGACAAAAAATAGCGACGACTCATAAAAAAGAATGACTGCACTTTGTACTTGATATTGTTGTATTTAAATACACTGTATCAGAAAAACAAAACATACCAAAAGATGTAGCATGAAAAGCTCTGCAAACTACACAATAAAGCTTATTTTAATTGTGTATTTTTTCTTTTCAAAGAAAAACGAACGTCTATGCAACTAGTTTTCGATAATATAACAAAAAAAATAACGCATGTAACAAAAAAAATGATTTTCTTCTTCGAGTACAAAATTAGTTGCATGGAACTTTTACTTCTTCTAAAAACAAAAAAAACACACACAGTTAAAATAAGCTTTATTTCATAGATCTTAGAGCTTTCATGCTGCATCTTTTGATTTGTTTTGTTTTTCTAATAAAATGTATTTAGATAGAACAATATCAGGTGTCGTGCAAAGCTATTTATTGTGAATCCGAGAAAAAGATGAAGTATATAAGGACCAACATCATTGAAATATTCGATATTGCAATAAAAAAATGTTTCTTTTTCTCGTTCTTACAACTTTCTGTTTTGTTGAAAGAAAAATACTAAATCAATACAATGCCATTTCAACAGCATTCTATTAATTACTTGTCCACGCTAACGATTATTTTCTTTAGATAGATGTCACTCTCTAAACTTGAATCATTTCCGAATGAAATATTAACTGATATTATTGAGAAATATATTCATGGTGTGGATCTACTAAGAGCTTTTAGCTTTCAGCTTAATCGACGATTTGATTCACTCATTATTCAATCTCAACGACTTCGTTTTGATTTTATTCAATGTCATAAAGATGATTTTCGTTTGTGTATGAGTCTTTTACCAGCTTATATCGATAAAATAGAAGAATTAGCCATATCAGAACAAGATACACCTGGTCAAGTTTATGCTTTTCTATCTTTTTTTCCATTGTTTACATTATTTAAACGACTTCGAAAGCTTTATTTTCATTTTAATGGTGAAGCTATTAGTTGGAGCATTCTTGAAAATGCTCTTAATTCACTATTACAAACGACGATCGAAACTCTATCAATCAAAGCAAGTATAAAAGAAAATGAATTCTCACTAGGAAATACTATTGTTCATATTTTTGGCTTCAAATCGTTAAAAAGATTTTCTCTCTCGAGCGATTTCTATGTTATGAACTGATTTAATTTAGCAAAGGTGTCGTCAAATATTGAGCATTTGACTATTTCTGGTATACATTGTGAATTTCAAGATCTCCAATATATTTTCCAGTGTGCTTCTCGTCTTAAATATCTTGATGTTGAATTAATTGGTAGAGGAATACCTTCTTATGGTGAAAAAGAGAAGCGTCCAAAAAAGAGTATTGCGGTAATGTCAGCACTTCGTACACTAGTCTTATATTTTCCTGGCAAAAGTTTAGTAACGATGGATATGTTAACAGAATATTTGAATTCTATGTCTTTTTTAAAATATCTGGAGATCAAAGCACACAATAGACTTCTTGATGCAAATGCATGGGAGATGCTGTTGAAAACATCGTTACCATTACTAATTCATTTTACTCTTCTAACAACTTCATCTCGTGTTAAAGAAACCGAACTTCACAATGTGCTCTCGTCGTTTGAAAGTTCATATTGGTTAGCAAAAAATGATTTCAATCTAATGATAACCGAACATGAACACTGGAACTCTATTAGTGTCGGCATAAATGAAATAAAATCGCAAGTTCGGCATGAATTTGATTGGCCTGTTACTCGGTGTTGGATAGCACCCAATCGCACTATTAATAATGATCTTATAATAGTAAATAAAATCATAAATTTCAAAGTTGATAACATAAACAGTCTTGTATCATGTCCTTACTACTTTGACAATGTCAAATGGCTTATTGTGAATAATATGGATAGTGCTCTATTCAAATGGCTGCACACACACGTAAATTATTCTTGTATTAGGCAAATCGATATCAGACGCTCACCAGAAATGACTATCGAATTAAATAGACTGCTGACATATGTCACCAATATGAATTCACTTGATATGAACTTAGATCTGCTTTTGGCTAATGTAGATACTTTCATGGGAAAAATGAATTGTGTGAAAGATCTTAACATATCTATTTATAAGGATAAATTCAGCGAAGAAGATATTATTATTATTGCCAAGTGCTTTCCTTACATGGAACATCTCAAAATGAATACATTAAGTTTACAGAACATTCCACTACTTAAGAAATATTTAGTACATCTTCGCAGTCTTACTTTTTGCACTGAAAACAATTATTATAATCCTTTTTATGACTATGAGAGAAGAAAAAGGGAATATGATCTACGACGAAAAACCAATTTTTTGTTCCAAGTTACAGATAATACAATGACAATTTGGCTCGACCAAGCTGCATTTGAAGACCCATATTGGCGAACATTTATGGTGAACCCATCTCAGTCAACGACTTCATTAAACCTAAATACAATATCCAATCGTCCAGTAACCAAGGAAGCTTCTGATACTCCGAAAAAAAAAAGTCCACGTTTCCCTTTCTTAAGTTTTTCAAAAGGTAGTATGTGGCAAATCTTTTATTTGTTTCAAGAAAGATTTAATTCCAAATAAAATACCTAATCTGGATTCTAACTAAAAGAATGAATGCTCATCATTGATTGTGGCTTTCTATATGTATCTTACCGCTGAATGTATTTATTATTGTGGGAACTATAATTTTGAACAAGTAGATATTCAAAATTTACTTGATTAACCCTTTGAGGACTGAATTTTTTTTCAATTGAAAAACGGTTCTTCAATCAACCTGTTATATTTGGCTCAAAATGATCAGATAAAAACCTCATAACAATGTATCGAGAAAAGAGAGGGCGAAATCATGCGTTATTATATAGTAGGAGAAAGAAAGGAAGACATCTGAGAAGGATCTATATGATAGGAAGAAAGAGAGAAAAGACCTGCATGGAATGCCAAATAGACGACCTATTTACCTTGACGATTATAACAGTTTAATATGGAGCAAACATTTTCTTTACTGAAAACTAGGTGGGATAACGTATGTCCCTTGGTCCTCAAAGGGTTAATGTCGAATCAGTAGGTCATTACTATTTTTCATGTGGAAGAATATTCTTTTCGAAATTTAACATATTTCCATCGAACGATGAATATTTATATACTGCGATCTTATTCACAATTATTATTACTTTATGCTTCAGTTCCATGTTTTTGAATAAGGCTTCAATCTTGAAAGGAGTTGGCGCATTTTTCATGGGCTATACCCCCTCTCGATTTTTGTTCGTTTACTTATTTTCTTCTCGGGACTGATGTGAAGATATATGATCACGAAATTGTTCCTTTGACATTTTAAGTATTAGCAAAAAAATCAACATTTTAGGAAAGCGCTAATTTCTATAGAAAATACCAAAAAAAGGTTAATATTTCGAGATTTTCATTATCAAGAGTTGACTTGTACAGAATATAAATATCATATTCAAGCTCAGCATGCAAAAATAGACTGGAACATTTAGTTTTCATTGTGAAATATTTTCCATCAAAATTTTACCTGTAGGGAAGTACAGGTCAAAATTTAAGAAATAAAAAGCTGAGGGGGAATAGGGAGCCAAATTTTAATGAAAATAGGGTGGGTGTGGGTCTGGGTGTGGGTTGTGGGTGGGTGTGGGTGTGGGTATGGGGTGTGGGTGGTGGGTGTGGGTGTGGGTGGGTGTGGGTGGTGGGTGTGGGTGTGGGTGGGTGTGGGAGTTGGTGTGGGTGTGGGTGGGTATGGGTGTGGGGTGTGGGTGTGGGTGTGGGTGTGGTTGTGGGTGTAGGTGTAGGTGTAAAGCGAAGACCCACACGCACACGCACACCCCACACCCACACCCACCCACACCCACACCCACGCCCACACCCGCACCCACACCCACCCACACCCACCCACACTCACCCATCCACCCACACCACACCCACACCCACACCCACACCCACACCCACACCCCC